ATGACTGTACCTTAAAAACGAGCTAATATTGACCTGAAACTTTTGTAATGTATGTAGTTCAGTTCATGTGCTGGCACTTATCCCTCACGAGCTTTGATCATCCACATTGTTTGTCACATGAAATAATCACATACAGTATCAGTATGGTAAATGTATCACTTGCCGTCTCTGACGTCTTTTCGTTGTACACGATTATTTAGGGACATCGACGTGAAAGTGGGTACCGTGATCAAAAAGTTCAAAGAGGCCAATTTGCTCACGGAAGACATCCTATGTACGCTAAAGAGCGCCATCACGGTGGAGGAGGTTACCGCTTTCGTAAGGATAAATAGTAATACAGTGAATAAAAGCATATCGTCGATAATAATAATTTTAGTCAGATACTTTGAAAACCGAGGCAAAACATACCTTGGCTCAACGAGCTGAAATCGCTGGGCTTCGACCACCAGCATTGGCAATTCTAAACGGCAACTCTGACGTCAACATTATGTCTCTGGTCAACAAGAATGTAAAAGGTAAATACGGAGAATTCGCTATGTACATTTTTTGTTTCGTTTGATATCAATTTCTGAAGACTGATAAACTATGGCCCAAACGTCAGAGGATATGAGCACAGTAATTTTAGGCATGCAGTGTCATTCCGTGGTGAAACTGTTCAATTTTGAACGCAAATCGCATAAAACATTTAGCTTCCGTGTTTAAAAATTAAAATACTTTCAGCTTTGACACTGGTCTCTGCTAAGGCTGCATTCTGTCCCCTTTCATGCTTGTGTTGTGCAAGGATAGAATAGTTAGGTGCATCCAAGGCTATACGTGTAGCAGCTTAGAAGATGTCGAGAGTAGAAGGTTGTGGTCTACGGCCTTGTTTTATTAGGTTTACGACCTTATTTTATTATTACGACTTTCTTGTTTTATTAACATCTTCTGAATCTGATTTACGGAGCTCGCTGTAAAGGTTCGCAGCCGAGTGCGACGTGGTCGACATCCGTTTGAACGTATCTAAAACGAAAAGCCTAGTGCGTTCTCGTTCTCATGCCCATTGCTCTCTTTAGATTAACGGAGAGACAGTGGAACAAGTGGAGAAGTTTAGGTTCCTCAGGGTCGTGTTTACTGGTAATGGAAAATTTGAGGAAGAGATCAGACGGCGGTTTGCAGTAACCAGTAGCGTTCTGCGTGAACTGGCCCGACCCATTGCGACTAAAGCAAAGCTCAGTCTGACAACTAAGCTCTCAATATTCAAGTCGATCTTTATCCCCATACTTACCT